TAACTGATTTCAAGTAAACCAAAGGAGCCCGAATTCAGCTATTCTAAAGTTGCAAAACTCAAAAAGGATGCCTTTCCGCAGAAATTTTTTTATGACGTACTATTCGAAAAGACTTCCAAATACAATATAAACAAATATTTCTTAAGATAACTGATTTCAAGTAAACGAAACTTCAGCCAATATTTTGGCCCCCAAATAAATTAAAAAAGTATTTAGAGGGCACCGGTGTTGTCCCGAATCTTTAATAGAGAATATATCTCTCTTTCTCTATTGCATCCTTGGAATTGATGTCAACTCCTACTGTGAGAACCTGATCAAGGCCCCCTTCGCCAACTCGATGTCCTTACATTGGAGTTTTGGAAAAGCTACTGATACGTCCCTGTTTGCCTCCCAGTGTTGGACGGCTTTCCATCCTCACTTTTTCTCTCCTAGCCGGAGCAGAGGTGAACCCTTGCGCCAGGCTGTTTCTTGGTACTTTTACTCTCCCCTGTTTCGAGGAGTGTTTTCGCTTTTGCTTCTTCTGCAGCAAATCCTTCATAGAACAATACAAAGTACAGCAGTCCTCCGTACTGAGATCTCCGGCCTGGTTGACTCAGGCAGGGTTGAGGAGCCTGGTATAAGAGCATATTATTTTTTCCTCTAATGACATTCGGAAATATACATTTTGTAACATTGAGCATATTTCATGTTGGTTAGATAATTTTGTGGTCAATTGCCACTCATTCATTGTTATTAAATTTGAAAAAATATAAAAAATGTCTATACCTATGTGACGGATTCATCTCTCCAAAAAGTCCTATATGGGTATTTCGTTACTAAAGTTTCCGTTTGGATTAACGCAGAAGTGTTTACAAAAAATAACTATTTTATTTTGTAGATTTTCTTGGAGTGGCGAAATACGCATATAGTATTTTTTGGAGAGTTGAAAAAATATGTATAAAGATAAATTGAAGACACATACTTTTGTGTACGCTACTGATCCGAAGCTTTTAATCACGGATTGTAACTCATTTATTTTAACGACCGAACTATTCATTTCAATCCGCCCCAATCTCATTGTTGGCATCACGCAATTCAAAATGTACTCTCTTCATCCGTAACTAATTCCATTAGTGAATAGTGCTTGTACGCAACAGCTAAAAGACCATATATTTTATTATTTCTGTAAATCCATTGCTTTTGGGCCATCTGTCCTTACTATTATAGGACAACACAACCCATAGATATTTGAGAGAAGTAATAAATGAGAAAAGCGTCTATTCAATTTAACAATCTGAACTTAAAAAAATAAGATTAATTTAAAGTATTTTTTTATCAAAAAGCTACTACTCGGTAGACGCATTCTTCCAGGAGTCGAAATTCTAGTCTTATTTCTCTAAGAGTCCTGATTCATTCATCACTGACTCATCAACGCCCAGACCAAACCCTTGACCCTAGAAAGCTGAAATTTTGCACAGGGGTTCCTTTTATGATGTTTACGTGAGATAAGAAAGGATTTTTTAAAATTCATCCCCTAAGAGGGTAAAAAGGGGGGTGGAATATTACAATATTTTTTATTTAAAAAACGGGCAAGTTTTCGAAAAAACGCTTAATCACGTATATTTCATTTTGTTTTTTACATATTTTAAGATTTTTAAAAATGTATACAGGGTGATTCGAAAAATCTGGTCATTGATTAATCACGATCCTGCTTAAAGCGCTTGACGTAAAAAGCTGATTTTTGGAAAACGGATTGACTTTAGGGTGTAGAGGTTAGATAAGAAGGGATTTTTCAAAACTCGAATTCTAAGGGGGTGAAACCACCTCTCAAATATTAGAATATTTTTTATTTAAAAACCGGTGAGTTTTTCGGAAAAACTGTTAAACACGTATATTTTATTTTGTTGTTTTACATATTTTAAGATTTCTAAAAATGTATACAGACTGTGGGATGTAGAGGTTCGATAAGGAGGGGTTTCTAGAATCTCAAATTCCAAGAGGATCAAAACGCTCCTCAAATATTACAATATTTGTTATTTAAAAAACGGTTAGTCGGGAAAGTTCGGGAAACCTGGACACGCATAATTTATTTTATTTTTTACATATTTTTAATTTTTTTAAAAAATCATACAGAGTGTTCCAAAAAGTTGGTTAATTGATTATCCACGATCCTGCTTAAACTGCTTGACGTAAAAAGTTTATATTTGGCAAACGAATTTTTCGAAAGTCAAATTCCAACGAGATGAAACTACCCCTCAAATATTACCAAGTTATATAATAATATCGCCATATTGTTTTTTTCTCGTGCTGACATAAATGTGAGAAAATTTTATTCAGTTTATATGTTAATGGAAATTCTTGCTATGCTTTATTACCACCATTACAAATGATTAATTCGACGCGAACGAAGTCGCGGGTACACACTAGTATACTAATATTTTTCTAACTGGAATAATTGTTTTTTGTTGGTGTATAAGTGCATTTATTTTATTTATTGTTTCATATTTGTATTTGTTTAGTTTATATGTCGTAAAATTGATATTGTTTTCTATATACCTATAAATGTAATTATTTTCTCGACGATCCTATAATTTAAGTACTGTTGTATTTATATTGAATGGAGCTAATAAATCTAATGTAATCTAATAATACGTACATATTATTTAGGGTATTTGTTATTTTATTTATCTATTATATCGATATTATATTATTATATAAATAAATCACGCCTTGTTTTCGACACATTTTGTCTCTTGTGTCAAAAAGATTTATGGTTGGCATAAAATGGCTATTCGTCAATAAAAAACATCGTTTTCTTCCTAATTTCCAGAAAAAAAAGTATTACCTTATACAGCCAAAAAGACCGAAAATAAATTGAATCAATGTAAAAAAGGTTTTTATATTACCAACGGCGGAAAAATTCTTATGATTCTGAAATCTCAAGGAAATATTTCTTTATAAAAGGTTATTTTTAAACGTCAAGATTAATAGGTTCATAATTTTGAGATATGTTTGTATTATAGTAGAGAAAAATAAAGACATTTTATAGGATGTTAATAAATATATGTATAAAAAAATTGTGTGTGCACTATGTGCGCATATTTTGAAGTGAAACTTTTTACTAACAGCTGAAACAAAGAAAGTTGTGTTGAAAGACGTTGTTAGAAAAGTGTGATTTGAAATGTTAAAAAAGTAATAAATTAAAAGTTTATAAATAACTTGATTCACTTTCACAAAATTTGTATTAAAATGACTGTCTGTCCGTCTGAGGACTCCATTGGGGTACCTCTATCCACGTGCCAAGTTTAGTTCCAATCGACCTATAATTAAGAAAAATCCTGATGATTACATCCTGATGATGCATCCATTTAGATGCATCGGCTCGAAACGTCGAAGGCGTAATCCTGTAGCCCGTCCACAATTATGCCGAAATCGACCCACATTTTTCTTCAATATCAAATCCTTGGTCCCACCCTGATGAAGATATAACCGAAACGTTGTATCCAACTTTGCAGGGTGGAACCGTGTCCACCGTCGCTCACATACGTCGATACCTACATATCACATAGCCTAACCACCAAGTTTGGTCACGATCGGACTACATTAACTTTTGACGTTTCCTACGTCAAAACTAACTGTCACAGTGACATATGTCGAACACGGTCAACTTGGCCTTGGTCCAATCTATCGACATACCAAATTTCATTTAAATCGTACGATTTTTTCATCATTGATGATGGGGTTTTATAGTGTACGAAACGTCGTCAAAATATTATGACAATCATTTCTTTTACAGTCCATGTTTCAATGCTCTAGCTCACATAGGGCATAGGGCCCAAGTTACGACGCTCCAAAAACCCATCTCAACTTATCCATTGGCTTACCGCTTTTTCGATCGTTATCACTTTTCGTTACCACTAGATCGTGTGTCACGGCCTTGAATTTTTACTCCAAGCGCGCGTAAAGAAGTTGTAGTTCAAAAATCACGGTAAATTTTAATGTAATGCATTTGGTTATCGAATAATGAAAGAAATTCAAAAGTAAATAAATTATCCTCATATTTTCTAATAGTATTATGACAGAACATTGAACGGTTTTTAATGATATGCTAATATTTAAAGGAGCGATTCTTGGACCTATTCTAAGAAAAAAACTTCATATGAATGTATGTCCTAAACATCTTAATTTATGAGATACAGAGTGGTCAATCTAAAAAAACCTTTTTTTCGTAATAACTCTGATTTTATAGCTATCTTTATGAAACTTGATACACATCTTCTATGCACCATATACCTTTTTTGATGCGCAAAAAATTATTGTATTTATTTCAACCAGTGCCGTCCATGCGGGTTTTACATTGAATACTTTTGAAGAAAAAATTGGTACACCACTAATTTCTCTTACATTAAAAATTATTTATAAAATCTCCATTCATTTCTAAAAAATTTTTATCTCTTAATTTTTTTCATCCGCTGCATAGTTTTTGCTTAAAAAAATTATGTCAGTTTACTTCAGTGTCAAATTGCTGAAAATCTGATACGGTGACTGTTGCGTGGTAGTAATATCTGCGTCGGCTGAAAGGAAATTAAGAAATAAAACTTTTTTTTGTTTATCAAAATATGCATTTTGATGCATGGAAGACGTGTATCAAAAAAAACATCAGAGATATTTTGAAAAAAAAAATAGAAAATTTTACCACCCTATACGTATCTGAAAAGTTAAGATGATTAGGACATACATTTATATGAAGTTTTTTTTCTTATAACAGGCCCAAGAATCACCCCCTCAAAATATTAGCATGTCATTAAGGAACATTTGCATAAAATTAAAAATGATTAAATATTCATGAATTAATCATAATAACTTCCTGTTTAATAGCACGAGTATTAGATGTTGTATTAATTAAGAGTTGCACTCTTCTATCTTTTTAATTCTCACCTAATTTAAAAACCAAGACTCAGTAAAATTAAAGTGGTCTCTTGTATAAGTTAAAGCAGATCAAACACACTCCTTCTACTTACATACGACTTCCATTCGAGCCTCGCTCTGTGCCGAAGCAAAAGATGGCGCCTCCGCTGACACTTCACATCGAAAAAGTCCGCTACTCTTCCAGTTGACGGGATGGAGCACCACTTTCCTGTTGTCTGACTTGCTCATCTGCAATTAAAAAAAAGTAGTGTCTAAGTGGAGGACTTTACTCGAATCGAGGGTAGGAGACTTGTGAATTGCGCAATTTAAGCTAATTATGCGCGATTTTTACACAACATAATATGAAAACATAGCCTTCGCAAGTAAGTTACTATTTCAGACTGTAGAATGTAATAGCTCTTATTTGTTGTTATATTTTGTCTTGATAATATATAAAATATATTGTCGAAAATACATTTGATATTATATAGCATTCTGTTTATTCCTTTTTCTGATATTATATTTAATGGTATTGTTACGTATTCCGTGGGTTCACTAATTTAAACTCACGAAGGAATACTTAACAAATGTATTTTCTTATTATTTACACACAATTTATACTGATTACAACACAAATTTACCTATTTAAAAACCCTTCACCAATTTGTCAACATTCGCTATACAAGAACTAACCGTATTTCAAAACAAAAACTAAACTGCTGAGCGCGGTTGCGGTTATATACATCCTAACAGCTGCTTCTCAAACGTTCGAAAATTATCTGATTGGGAATTACACAAATCGCTTTTCTTCTACATGACTCGTTCCCCGACAGATGTCGCCATGTACACCTTGACAATATCATATCATTTAAGTACCATTTATGATATTCCTAAATACTTTTTAGCATAAATAGAGATTTTTGTTTATTTAAAACTCTTTGCTTGTTTGTATGAAGGTCCTGAAACTACTCCAATGGCGAAACTTTAAGTCTGTGGCCAAATCAAACTGTAAACGAATACGGTTTGTTGACATTCTGCTAATATAGGTTGTATATGCATCAATATAAATCAATATGTATGGTTTGTCCGCCGTTTATATATGTCAGTATTGAACAAAATACTGGTCAATATGCTTAGCAACATGTTGATTAACAAACACACGCAACAGGAAACTTGATGACCATAACTTCATTCGCAACATGATGCCGAACATTTTTCCCAGTGAGCGGTCTCATTGTAATCAATAGCGAGATACAGGGTGGTCCGAACTGTATTCTGGAAACTTCGGCAGCATATTCTGCAGATAAAAATAAGTAAAAAAGTTCGTATAAATGTATGTCTTAAAATGCTTAGTTTCAGAGATACAGGGTGTAGAAACTTCATTTTTATTTCGATTTTTTCCAAATAATTTCTAAAGTAACGTCAACATTTGTATGAAAATTGGCGTCTAGGAGTTTTTTGACATGAAAAATTTTATTTTGATGTCAATATGACTCCTACTGATAGAGGGCGCCACCTACATGTGTTTTAACTGTTTTGAAGCGTAAGAACTTTTGTCCGTGTCTGTATAAAACTACCGAGGAAAAAAATATACATCTCTATAACTTTTTACGTAAAAAATATCTCTTTGTAAAAATCGCCATGAGCAACCGTTCTCAAGATATTTAGAATGGAAATAGTCAATACATGTCATTATTGACGAACAATAAACACGTTGAGTAAATAGTTATTTCACTGAAATAATAAATTTGGTAAATTTTTATTTTTTCAACTTAATCATAAATTTTTCTGCAAAAAAATGATGATAAAACAGTTTCTGTTGAACTTTTGACACAAAAACTTCAAATTTATGATCACAGTCGAATAACTATTTAGTCATGTTTAATTTATGTCAATGATGACAGGTATTGATAATTTCGATTCCAAATATTTCAAAAACCAACACTCGTAGCGATTTTTACCAAGAGACATTTTTTACGTAGAAAACGTCGTAAATGTATATTTTTTTACTCAATAGTTTTATACAGGTACGGACGAAAAGTTATTACTCTTCAAACCAGTTAAAAAATATGTACGTGGCGCCCTCTACTAGTAAGAGTCAGATTGACATCAAAATCAAATTTATCATGTCAAAAAACTCCCAGGTACCAATTTTCATCCAAATATTGACGTTACTGCAGAAATTATTTGGAAAAAATCGAAATAAAAATGAAATTTTACAGCCTGTATCTCTGAAACTAAGCATTTTAGGACATACATTTATACGAACTTTTTTACTTATTTTTATCTGCAGAATATGCTGCCGAAGTTTCCGGAATACAATTCGGACCACGCTGTATAGTACACACTGAACCTAATTATCCCAAATTAAAAACGTTTATACACTTCAGTTCTAGCCGTTGACCGGTTAACAACGTCGTGCGCGAGTTATTCTAAGTAAAGTAATATGCGTATTATTGATACAGCATCGATAAACAAAAACTAAAACAATGCCGCCCGCCGGCAATACGGGCGAGGATGATTCAAGTGAGGACAGTGAGATGTGTAAAACATGCAATAAATCAATAAGTGATAATGAATTATCAATATTCTGCGAAGGCCAATGTAGATCATGGTATCATACAACGTGTCTGAACATAACTAAAAAGCAACTAAATCAAATGGAAGCTATAAAAAATTTAATTACATGGTCCAACCTGTAAAAATAATTTGGAAAGGATGTGGGATGACTATACAACAAGTAAGAAAATTTTAAAAAAACTAAATGAAATAGAAGGGAAACTAGAAACTAAACCACAAAAAATTTTGTCATACGCTGATGCCCTGACCAATAGCGCTATTAAAACTGAAGAAAATAAGAATATTTGTCATGAAAGAACATTGGTAATTAAACCAAAAAATCACAAACAAAAGAAGCTAAATTCAAGAATTAAAACAAAAAATAAATCCCGCCAGCTGCCAGCGCGCCTATCAAATATTATAACTAATAACTACACAAAAAGTGGTTGTGTCATAATAAAAAGCGACAGTGCAGAAAACCTTGAAAAATTAAAAACACATGTTCAAAGTAAGCTAGATACAAAGTATAACATTGAGATGAAAGACCAATTCAAACCACAAATAAAAATAACTGGGCTACTTAAAGAATATAAAGAGAGTGAAGAATTACAACAAGACCTAAAATTATTGAACAGTAAAATTTTAAACGAAAACGATAAAATAAAAATAACTTTTACAAGACAATCGAAAAAATCCAAAAAGTGGACAGTTTTTGCTGAAACAGCTGGACACACATACAACAAATTAGTCAACACAAGATTGGATCTGGGGTGGAGTAGCTGCCAAGTCCATGAAAACCTAAAAATAATTCGCTGCTTCAGATGTGGAGTGTTCGGGCATAAATCCGCTAATTGTCGTGAAGATCAAAAGTGTACATATTGTGCGGGTCCACATGACCGATTAAAGTGTGATAAGAAGGTTAAGAAATGTGTAAATTGTTTTTATGTGCACGGTAAATTCAATGCTGATCAACCGTTTGATCATGACAGCGAAGATGAAAGACACTGCCCTATTCTAGCCAAGAAGTGTCGGCTTGCTAGGGAGAAGATTAATTTTAATGCTAAACTAGAATAGTAATTTTAGAAATATAAGGTATAAATTGTTATTTTTAATTTTGAATTATGAATTCAACTGAATCCGACATACTAGAGAAAATATCAGGCAGTGCAATTATCCCCGTAATAATTAATCCTAACAATCTTGATCAAAACAATAGCACAAGTAATAAACTTCTTAGTTTAATACATTTAAACATACGTAGTATAAGGCAAAATTTTGACAATCTTTTAACATTTCTGGAAGCCTATAAAATCAATTACTGCGATATAATTGTACTAAGCGAATGTTGGATGATTGATAACTCTAATCAGTTCTGTTTGCCGGGATATACTAGCTACTATGATTCTGGAAATTTTAATAAAAACGATGGAGTGTTCATATTTATTAGATCAAAGATTAATGAAACTATTAATAGTACAAAACTTCCCAAATCTCAAGTTACTATAACAAAAATTAAATTTACATTGAATAATACGCTTTTTTCAGTTATCTCATTGTATCGTCCGCCTTCATCTGATGTTAACCTTTTCTTAACCGATTTAAATGATTACTTTAGTTCTAATCTAGAAGATCAAATAGTAATTTTTGTAGGAGATATAAATATAAATATAGATAGTATTTCTGACATAGCAACGGAGTACAACGCTATACTGGGTCATTACGGTTTTCAGTCGTATATAAACGGCACAACCAGAGATGACTCATATACACAGAGCTGCCTAGATCACATATTTCTTAAAAATAAAATAAAACATCAGAATACAAGTTTTAAGTCATACATTTTTCAATCGCCAATAACGGATCATTTTCCGATAATGTTGAGTTTATTTCAAGATTTTCCGAACAAAGTTCAATGTAACAATAATGTAAGTAGCACAAGTAATAATTTCATAATTAATTACAATAAACTAGATAACCTACTTAACAGCGAAAATTGGAATTTGGTGCTGCAAGACAATAATCCTGAGTCGGCAGTTGCGACTTTTGTAAACACTTTGCAGCAATATATTGAACGTTCAAAAATTTTGGAATATTATAAATATGGTAGTAAGAAAATAAAACCGTGGATAACTCAGGGTATTATATCATCAATTAAGACAAGGGATCTTTTAAAAAAACAATTTATGAAAGATAAAAATCCTGATACAGAACAAAGATATAAAACTCATAGAAATTTGTTAAAAAAAATCATTAGTAAAACAAAAAACGATTTTTACAGAAATAAAATTAATGATAATAAACAAGACTTCAAGAAAATTTATCAAATAATTAAAGAGGCAACTAATGACTCAGTTCATGATGAAAATTGTAGTAACCACATTGTTTCAGAAAATGGCAATGTAATTAATGATAACAAAGACTTGGCAAACTATATCAATAATTATTTTATAAATGTTGGTCAAAAAATGGCTGATAAGTTTGGGAAAACCACAACTTTTCCTGTTCTAAAGTTTCATAATACAAATTCAATATATCTGACACCTGTAACTGAAAATGAAATTATTCAGTATATTGCCCAATTAAAAAATAATAGTTCTTCTGGATCCGACGGTATTTCAGTTAAACTAGTAAAGAGAATAAACCACTATATTTTAAAGCCATTAACACATATTATTAATACTATTTTCCAA